GAGATAGAATACATTCTGGGGAATGCTTTGGAAGAAGGAAAAAAAATGCGTTTTAAAGCTGGTTTCAGATGAAGATTTGTGTACACTGTTGTTTTTTAATAAAAGCAGGAATTATTTCATGCAGAACCACAGAATGATTAAGGTCAGAAGAGACCTTTGGAGAGCATCTAAGCCCAACCTCCTTGCACAAGCAGAATCACCTAGAGCACGTTGCACAGGATCATCACATACCTTCAGTATCATTTTCCTAAGAATAAAAAGAGCTGAAGAAACTGGATTTGAGACAATTACTTTGTAGTGTAAAGCTTATTAAATAGGATGTAGTAAGTATAGTGACAAAAAAGTCCCCTCCTACCTCATTCCAACTACCCCTAATATCGCTCATATTTTTTACAAGCACCTAAACACACACACAAAACAGTTCTAAAAAAAGACTGTTACTAAGCTTTCTCCCTTAACTCTGTCTCTAACTTGGAAGAGGTTTCAGTGTACTTGAAAGGTTTTTGAAACACAGTCAAAGCAATTGCTACTTCAAGAGCAATTGAAAATAAAAAAAGCCCGTTATTGCTTGTGCCCTCTCCTCCAAAGCACAGGCTTAATGGTACCATCCCTCTGAATGCCGGAATGAAAGGTCCTTAAGTGACCTAGGACCCTGTTATATGGGCAAATGAATTTTTGATCAGCAAGTAAAAGAATGCTTACCTGTCACTTTGTTTGTTACAGAAGTCATTTCTTATTTTATCCACTATAGAGGTTCGGGGAAGGATATTTGTTTTGTTCTTTTTCTTGGCATCACTCTCTACTACTACAATCAGCCAGTCCACGGAGCTGTGAGCTTTGAGAATGTTCTGCCACTTGGTGATGTCATCCTTGACTGTAGCTTTGTAGGCTTCCGTGTCCTGGCATAACAAACAGTGAATCAGCAGACAAACGGATCCTCTGAACAATTTCAAAAGGTAAATTTTGTTCCAACAGAAGAAAAATGTACAAGAGAATTTGTGAAAATGAGGAATCCAATGTGTGGGAGTTTGGCAAGGTTATAGCCTTTCAGTGTCTTTTATTTTTGCTTAATAGCACATATATTCTAGAATTTGGTATACTATAATTCTTTAGGTTATTGAAATTAAGATTTTTAAACTCTTAAATTTTTTTCTTTGTATGTTCTTAGTCTTTACAACATAGTGCACTTTGAAGTTAAAAAGCTTAACTATTCTGTTCCCACACTGTAACACAACCGTGACATTGAAGCCTTCTAACACTGCTGAAATCTAAGTTATTACGATAAAAACCAGCAAAAGTCCATCTTTATTTGGTTGGAAGATTTTGGCTTTTTTTTTTCTTTTTTTTTTCTTTTAAGTATTTCAAAAACTAAACTCTCCAGGCTGTTCTCAATAGCTTTCACAGGTGGCATCTCTGAGTGACCACTGTTCTTTAATTGTGTAACTGACTTATAACAGAAGACAACCACCAAGAAGTGCAGATAAACAGGATTAAGATATTCTACATTTTATTCAGTTTAGATTGCTGCCCTGTATGAATACCAGACAAATAGAGAACAAATTATAATACATAAACCTAAATGGGTGTGTATACATAACCTTGTCTGTAGACATAACTGAAATAATCTGGTCACATTGTCATACCACGAAACATGTGTGCTATGCTACTGCAGTAATACTGTGAGATCTTGGGACTTTATTTGTGCCAAAGCACTGAAGATGGGTTATTCAAAGTATGTCCTTCCTGTGCCAAGCACCACTGCAAGTAAATATTGCTCACGGAAAGAAGTACTCAAGCTGACAAACTTTCCAATATACTAAGTATGCAATGCTTACGCAACATGGACCTGGTTGTTCAAATAAGCATGAACAGCAAATGGGAAATACCACAGAGGACAAGCAGAAAGTCAAAACAATTTCACTTTCAAAGTCAAATACTTCATTTTCAGGATGTTTTTCTAATACTTACACAACATTCTGTCCAATAAATATGAAGAAAGGGAAAGGTCAAAAGAGCCTTATTTCCCTCTTTGGGTAGTAGCTCCTCTTTAAATTGAACGAAGTTAGATTCTAGATGAATCATCTTCGGAGGGCGCCCATAAGACCTGAAGAATTTAAAAGGAAAGTTACCGAGATATTTATATATTTTTGTAGAATGAAAATGAATTTCGGTGAAGAACAAGGTGAAGTACTCTGGCCCTGGAAACTCTGTAATTATGCTTACTGACACCTGATCTGTATAGAGTTAACTAAAATGACACCACTTAAAATACAGTCATCTCTTAGCAAAACAGGGCCTAGAAGCTTACAGCTTTCCTTAAAGGAATACTTTTCATGTCTATGTCATCCAGAAGCAGAAAAAAAATCCAAAATTAAAATAATCCCCCAAATAGTTTTTCCACCAGAAAACGCCACACAACTTCATGCAGAAAATTACATTTAAATTCTGCCTGTATCGCCGTTAAAAACAAAACAAAACACAACAACAAAAAAAGCCAGTTACTTTCAGAACACGACTGCCTGAAGCAATATCAGGCCATATACCAAAATGAGCAAACAAAACCACAACTTTTTTTTTTTTTTTAATAGTAGCATAGCTGAAATGTGGAATTTGTCCTCTTTTTTTTTTAATAGTAGCATAGCTAAAATGTGGAATTTGTCCTTGAGTGCACCACATTTGATTACCATTACTAACTTCTTTACTCAACTGAGCTGTCATTTTCAACTCTATTTATGGCAAGAACTTTTTAGAAAAGTATGTATTGGTGGTTCTCTAAGTCTAGTAACATACACTAAGTATTATAAAAGGAAATTAAAATTTACCTCCTCCATTCCATGGGTTCTCTTGGAAGCTGCTGAGAAAGTGTAGGATATAGGGAAGTAAATAAATTCTGATCTCCAGCACCTAGAAGTTAAACACATTCATCTACTTATTGTATACAGAATACATAAAATATTAATAAATTATACCACAGTTTATTTCAATAAACAAGGTGTTATATCGTATACTGCATGGAAACTGAAGTCTCCCACTTTTTTTTTTTTTTGTATGAGTGTGTGACAGCTCACACATTTTAACAAGGTCCATAATAAACATACCGCTTTATAATTTCTATATGATTTTCCACATTACTACATAATCCATACACCAATGAGAACAGTGCACTCTGAAAGATGGAATATCACTCATATAGCTCACGCAATGTTAAAACAAACAAAAAATCTTCAGCCAGAGTTAGTAGCCAAACACAGTACATTTAGAAGACCTCAAGGTTTTAGCCTTCAAAACACGGAAGGATAGTTAGACAGCAATTCACTACATTTTGCAGTTGTGCCTACTGTGAGAAAATCAGCAGAATTTTGCACCTTACTAGATTCAGCTACTCCTCTCCCTCCTTTCTCTGCTACTTGGGGCTGCTGTGAATACGAAGTGGTTCCCTGCCTACTAAAGGCCTATGCTCACTGCTTCCAGAAAGGTCAGGCCCATTAACACTGCGCAACAGCTCTGGCTGCTCTGTAACCACTTGAGCTTTGGGCCACGCTTGAGTACTGAAACTACACGCAGCTTGTGAGCAACTGCATCCAATCTGAATGCCGCTTGAGTAACCGGCCTACCAAAAAAGACAAAATGTGCATTATCTGCAACCTACCAATATCAACCCTTAAATTCTCTTCTTTCTTTAGGGGACAAAGAGAACATGAGAGGGAGATAGTTTAAAATAATATTCCAAAATCTGATGGCACTTACATCTTTGAGCAAAGAGATGGCAGATGCAGAAACAAGGTTCTAACTGGAAGCAGGCTGACTTTGCAACACACAAACCAGTGTATAAAGCCCAAATGGCTGTTCATGAACCTTAACAAGGAAAGAGGTAACATTTGACTACTGACAGACGCATCTAAGTGAGACAGGAATAAGGAAGTTCAGAAACACTGCACTTGAGCATAGCGTTAAAATCTGTTACGTCATGCACCCTTTCTAAAGATGGGGTAATAATCTGACCCATCCTAGTTTCACAATATCACTTATTGAATCTCTCATCTGTATGCTGCCCTGAAGCTACGACAGCTATCACTCTCTTCCACATAGCTCCTCTTCACTGCCTTTTTCATCTTCGGCTGGCTCTATTACCCTCTGCCTGAGACCACAAATTAGTAAGAAAACCTTTATTTTCTCCTACAGAGGCTGCACTCTCTCCACTCCCCCTTCTCCTTCCAAGAATTTCCTGAGCTTAAGATTTTAAACAGGCATAGAATCATAGAATGCTTAGGGTTGGAAGGGACCTCTAGAGGTCATCTAGTCCAACCCCCCTGCACACGCAGGGACACCTACAGCACATGGCACAGGACTGCGTCCAAGTGGGTTTTGAAGATCTCCAGAGAAGGAGACTCCACAACCTCTCTGGGCAGCCTGTTCCAGTGCTCTGTCACCCTCACTGTTAAGAAATTTTTCCTTAAGTTCCTATGGAATTTTTGATGTTTCAGTTTCCGGCCATTTCCTCTAGTCCTATCAGTGGCCACCACTGAAAAGAGACCATCCCCGTCCTCTGCACTCCCTCCCTTGAGGTATTTATATACACTGATTAGATCCCCTCTCAGCCTTCTCTTCTCCAGGCTGAACAGGCCCAGCTCCCTCAGCCTCTCCTCACAGGGCAGATGTTCCAGGCCCCTGATCATCCTTGTAGCCTACAAACAACTCTGCTATTTCCCGGTATTTCTCCTTCTACTGTCTTTTGTAGTCATCCTCTATTTCATAGCTCAACCTGAACAGGGAGCTATCTTTTCCTGTGATACAGGGCACAAGGGCTGCAGAAGCACCTGACATTCCTCCTTCTCCCTCCCATCACACAATCACATATCTTGGCACAGAGGCAGAACTACTTGTGCATTAGTTAAGGAAATTTTACTTGTTTTGTAAACCCCCTTTCTAGGTCACTCACCTTTTCCCAGTCTTCTTACACACACTACTCTGATTACCAGCCATTAGCGCAATTTTGGCTGCATATATATATGTTTTTTTAAAAAAGTCCATTTAAAAGCTGAAATACGCAGCCAGATTTTTTTAACCTCTGAACACAAAGACTATTTTTCAGCAATAGTTTCCCAGAATAGAAAAAGAACTCTATTAGTACTTTAGCCTGAAGTCTCCAGAAAGGTACAGATCAAACATTTTATTCTTGACCCTCCACCTGCAGCCTATTCCAAATTAAGCATACTATACCAAACCTTAAATTTAAGACTACACATAAGTGTCTAAAGCATGTTAATCATAATGTTACCTCACAGCAGGCTACAATAGCTCAGTGAGCTGGACCATAGAGAATAGTGTGTTGATTTGCAACTCACTACTACCCACAGAGTGAAACATAGCTCAGTGGTTTAGCAACAGCAGGCTGACCACATCACATAATAATCTAGGAAGCTTGGGACCTGAACTAGAGGAACACTTGTGTATTTTACCTCTGGAGCATAAGAGTCTTTCCACATTGCCCCTAAAAATCCTGCAGGTGCAGGCTTCAGAACTTCACATTTTGAGTGAAAAGGATTGATCCAGAACATAGAGGAACCTCTAAACCATGATGCTCAAGTATCCTGCTATTACAGACAACCTCGTCACATTGGGATCTTAAGAAAAATTAAAAGTTTCAAAACCAGCTAGTAGTTCTTTTTTTCCCCCCTCCTGCATTGGCCATGATAGCATATAAAATGCACAAAAAAAAAAATCAAGGCAAGACTCAAGAACTAGAAGGAAAGGGAAAACAGACATAGAAAGCAAAATACATCAGGTATCTTTAAACACAGAGCAAATGCTTCTATAAATTACGAGAACCTAACAGATCATAACATTTTGAGCTCTGATCAACTGGACCCTGTATCTGCTGTAATCAGCAAATTCGAGCCAACCCATCTCGAAAAACATTAAAAATTAAGTCACCATTAGCAAAGTATTGACACAGAACAAATATCAACGGGACTAGTTATTAATGTGAAAATGTAGTTTTCCTTGCGTGTAACCAAATTTTGGAGGAAATGTTCTGAAAACACACCTAATTCTGGAATTTAAGCTGCAGCAAATCCAAAAGCCCGCAGAAACTAAGGATTGCTTCAAAGGTATTTGTTTTGTTTCTTTTTAAAAGAATAGTGTGTCAGGATGCCTAAGCACCTGACAATGCATAGTCTCTAGAATGCAGATAACCTTCTCAGCTTTTGTAGCATGGGTATATCTCAGTCCATCCACCTCCCAGATGAATAGCAACGCACACACAAAACAAGAAAGCACAACACTACCCCATGCTTGGAGCTGCATCACTTGCAGTAATTCCGCAGTAATATTCAAATGCTATAACTTCAACAGAAACCCTTCTGGAGAATGGGCAGAAAGGAGGGAGCATGCAGGGTTCCTTTCTTTCCACCACATTAAGGTTGAGAAGGCATGCCCTTCACCGCATTGAAGTACTTGACAAAGATAAAGCAAGACAAACAGGCCTGTGCCCAGAAAGCAAACACAAATGAAGCACACTGCAACTTTAGAGTTTTACCAAGCCTGATGTGAGAATCGCAATGACAGCCTCGCAACAACCCTCAAAAGGAACAAGCATTCACTTTGTAATAGCTGTCTGATAAAAAGCCCAGTAAAATATTGACACTTTTTAGTTTCATACGTGCCTAGAAAACACCAAAATCCTAAAAACGACATTATTTTTCTAACCCTCTATAAATTTTAGATGCACATAGGCTTTGCCACTACAGTATCTGAATATCCAACAATATCCAACAAATATCCAACAATAGTATCTTTCTCTGGAGGAAACTGCGCCAACCCACTAACTATGCAGGCACTGTTAAGAACAGGCTCCTGGTCTCAGATGACTAAGGCAGACAAATATTTTACCTTGATAACAACAAACCCTGTGGCCTGTGCTAAAAAGCTCCAAAATACACCTCTAAACAAGTTCAGTCCAAGCCGACAGAGTAGGCTGACTTGGATTTTATTCCCAAATAGCACTCAAGGCTACCTTTTCTGAGGCCATTTATTTTCCATTAGTAAAAAGTTCTGACATTAATGCTTTTTCAAGTTTACTTGCCTACTATCTGCAGCTTCGCCCAAGGTTTTGGGAGGGATTGTTTTTAGGTTTCTTCCCTCTCCCTGGTTCACTTTCAGAAAAGGTCTAAAGATCAGAACGGAAAACAACTGGATCACTATATAAAGTCTTACTTGATTCACTAGAAGCCCATAGAAGAAAAATCTTTAGCAAGCTTTAAAACCTTATTTATTGTCATATCAGTAAATCTAATAATTAGGGGTACTAACAAGAACAAAATTTTTCTTATGACATATGTTTTAAGGTATATACTACAAAGTAATATTGAATCAACCAGACGGTGCAATTGTACATGTGAGTCCTATTTGAGAACAGGGAAAAAAATATATATATATATGATACCGGGGCTGAGGAGGGGTGTTCTATTTTATTTATTTAAAGTTTTACTAGCTGGAAACCATTCAAACCATTTGGGCTATGTGTCACTTCTTGCCTGATACCGCTTTTATTATCTCTCTGTACTAGTAACAGAAGAACTTTGAATCAAGTTCTTCGAGTACTAGAACAGGAGGCTTAAAGGCGAACATTAAACATTTTCCCTGAGAAAAAAGACAAGACATAACTCTTCCCACCTCCCCTTTGATCAAAGTAACCTCTTCTGCTTATTCTTATCTTACAGACACTGGCAAAGTTTCCATCGATTTTTCTGATGGCTTTGCTATGGATGTATTACAACATCTTCTCAAGAAGAACTGGATGAAAGTGATTCTTTTTCTTTCTTTCCACATACTAAGGAACACACAAATTTCTACTTGGACAGACAACTAACAGTGAGAAAAAACATATACAGGCACACATGACAATTAGACGCTACAAATTGACATGGAAATGTTAAGAACTACATGAAAATAATCACAGAAGAATAGTTTGATAGGAAAGCTCTGAAGAACCTGTTAAATCACTTTACAGGATTATCTGAGTCAACCTGCTCTTTGTACAGATAAAGCTAATAACTTAAATGCAAGCCAACCAGCTAAGGACACACTATTTCATCTAAACCTTTTGCTAATATGTATTTGCCAAAAAAAAAAAAGTCTCTCATACAATTTCAGAAAGCTTTTGAAACATTAAGCTTCCAATTTGCTTCATGAGAAAGATGCAACACCATTCAGACTTTCGAGAAAAGTCATCTGCATTTTTAAAAAAGATTATTTCAGCTCAATATTTCAGAGAAACTACCCAAGTTCCTTGTATCTGATGCTCTGATGCAATTGCTCAACTTGCCTCTTCAAATCTCACACTGACTGAAATCGCTTAGTAAATATACAAGTTCCAGCAGCCATGAAGATAAACTATTACCAACTTCAAATGATTGCTTGAAAGGTAACTTCCCAGAGTAAACAACCGCAGCTGAGTGGTAAGGCTCTCCACTGGATTTACAGTGTAGTAAAGACAGACAATATAAAAATTCAAACTAATTTGGAAAGGAGTCATCATGGCACTCAAACCTAACTAATGAGAATGATTTAATAATACATGGGTACTGCCACTCTGAGAAAAGGGAGAAGTGGGAGAAATTGCATCTTTCTGTGAAAACATTACTTTTTCATAACCACAAATATAATATGCCCAAAGAAAATTTCTCTACATGTTTTTTATAGTTAGGCAGTTTACCTAACTGAAATCCATTACTGTAGATGCTTTAATAAATATATCTTTTTTGCCAATAAAGCGGACACCATAAGCATAAGGCTAACACACCTGGATACAAAGCCCTAGGCCAAAATTATTTATTGACAGTAACTACACGAGAAGAATACAGAAACAAAAACTATATCACAACTGGAATCAAATATACAAGCCATACAGAGGCTACCATTTTTACTTCTACAGTCACAAGCCAGGACATATGGGGGAAAACTTAAAGATTGCATTGATGCAGTTACTGCACCAGTGTTGTCTCTTACAAATATACAGGCAACCTGCCATTCTTAAATACCAGGGAAAATATTTTTTACTGTATTTCAGTATAGAAAGTCTGAGTCTACAGATTATTAGTCCAGGTCTTTAGAGTCTATAGAAGCATATTATATGTGGAGAGAGCAGAATAATAAAGATCGCCTTTTCAAAGGAAAAAAAAAACTGGGAATACACTTTGGAGTTCTCATTTGTAAAGTTTATTTTCAGGTTTCTCATTTTCCTCACTTTCTAGAGTTCCTGAGCAATCATCCCACCTTGCAAGAATTTTTATACTTAAGTTAGTATTTTTATATTTGCTCCTAAACATATTTTTAAAAGATACAAAAGCTAAGCAAAACAAAAAAGAGGTAAACTGCAAGTACATTAAGCCCACAAGTTTGAAAAGATCTCTGTTCTTCATTTTTCATTTCAAATGTTAATACATATCTACATAATCTTACCTACACTCCCCTTGAAATTACAACTTCAGGAAACAGATTTTAATTCCTTCTTAAATTGTCTGTCAGGCTTACTCCTGCAGTTACTGTCTTTTCTCTACCAGAAATCTGCAGTTGTGTTAAGCAGAAATCTGCAGTTGTGTTAAGCAGAAAATTTTACAACTGTAAAATAGCAAGTGTCCGGATACACTAGCCTTATATAAAATTCCACACTGAAATGGAAGTGAATTTTAGAAATATCATCCCAACTCCCCAATTCTGAACAAAAGCAACAAAATGCGTTAGTACCTTGAAAGTCTCACCCTCTTTGTACTCCCAAGGACTAGATTAGAAATCCAAGAAAGCTCAGACTGACTTACCTATCCAGAAAGGGATAACTATTCTAATGCAAACAGATCTCCCATGCACAAAAGTACTTCTGTGAAAGTTTAAAAAGGAATATCACTTGAAAATATACTCAGGTACGTATAGAATAGCACAAACTTCCTAACATTATCTTCCACATTAAGGAACAAATAAAGCTCAATTCAGGATCTTACCAACATGCCAAATTACTTTTACAATACAAACTCACTCATAGAATAACTCTGAAAGCTCTGAAAGAATAACTTTCTTTACTAGCTTTGTAAACAGTGTAAACAGAAGCAGTGTTTTCAGAGCATTCTTAAATTTATTTCCATTCCACAAATTACATGATGCAAAAGCATTTTTTAGAGAACATCACTCAGATATTAACTCAGCATGTTGAAAATAAGCTTCATTCAACAAAAAAATCTCTCTCAACAGTTTTTAATTACTAACAGCCAAAACTTGCCAGAAGCACATCTAAAACTGGTCGTAAAAGGAAATACTTATAGTTTGAGGTACAGCCTCACTTGACCTTCACTTTTCTTGCACATAGTCAAAAAAGTGGTCTCTTTTGCAACTCTTGTTTCCCACTCATGTACACCTGCTAGGTGGGACAGCCACCCCAGACTGCTTGACACCAGGACAACCAAGCATAGTCAAGCTCTATTTGTTGAGCAACTGGCTTTGAATGCACTCGCCAAGAAACCAATATCGAAACAACAATTCTCCTCCTCCAAGATCAAACTTCAACTGTTCATAAATCACTTGCTGTATAACTGTCAGAAAAGCTTTCCCTCAAATAAAAGCCATAATTTTCTGGAATGCACTTATTTGAACTTCCATGGCCTTTAAGTACTATTCTGTGGATGAAGGAGAAATGAAATAAAGCAAAATGCATTGCTGCAATTAAAAGTCGAGTTTTTCATTTGGGGGAAGGAAGAGTAGCAGGTCACCATTGCTGTATTCAATAGAGAAGACATTTCTTCTGCTTAGCAAGCTTTATAATGTGATTTCAAATGTCTCAGTCCAAGGCCAATCAACAAGGGATGCTGTCATGCTTGTTCATACTTTCACAGTCCCAGAAATGATTACTTCAGTCCAGTAGCAAGGCATACAAGCAATACTTAACATTCATTTCTTGTGAGGTTCAAGGGTTCACCTTTTGTAACCACAAAACACACTCACTACATGAAACTCAAAGAGTTTTTTAAGCAGTAGGTAATTTTGCTTGAGTAAAGCCTGAGGAAATTGAACACTTGGAACTCTGAATATCTCCTGGCAATAAGAGGTCAGAAATTCCTTTATTAGT